TTGAGCCATTCCCAGAAAAACAAAGAGAAGCAGGACTTGCCTTGTCTGCAGACAGCTTCCCCCTTGGTTCTCCATTGCTCCTTTCCGGCAGGCTTCTGAAAGAATCCCTTCTGCTCCACCACGCAGTTCTGTAAAATGTGCCCCTTGATTTGTCCACAGTATCCTCAGAATCCGAAGGACAAACGGTTTCTTGGTTTCCACCTCCATGACTTGCTATTTCTTCCTAGTTTCTCCGTGCTCACTGGGGCTGAGTGTCCACAGCATTTAATGCAATCTCTTTTCTGTAGCATTATCCTGCAGCGCCACCATGTGTTTTCTCCGATTTTCACAGTTTGATGAATTCTACTTAAATTCCTTTTACATCGAATGTCCCCCCAAAATAAATATTTATTGTTTATGTGGTTACTAGTATATTTTTCATTAGCGTTCTCTATAGCTTATGATGATGTCAGTATTTGTTTTTAAAGCATTTGTTAAGTGTCTCATGAATATAATATTGTTAAATTTAACACATCCCTTACTACTGGGCCTTGCTTAGTGTCCTTGGAGACTTTCAGAGGTTCTGGCAGGGTTATGAAACTGGATTAGCCAGGAGGTGGTACACAATAAGGACCATACTATATAAATTCATAGTTTTGTCCCAGTTTCTTGCAAATGACAAAAATTCAGTAAGTGGCACACAAATACAAATGTGCTGTTTTGTGTAAAGCACACTTACTCCTAATGCTGACTTCCCTCAGGTTCCCAAAATATTCTCCCAACAATGCACAGCAGCTCATGGAGAAAAAAGAGAGAGATGTGATTTCCTAAAGAGAACAAAAATTCAACCTCTGATGAAACCAACTAATGCCATGTCTGGCTAGCGACGCAATATACAGTTACTCAAATATAGCATCATGAGGATAGCTTTTAGTCACAGAGACGGAAGACCTGCCCTTTGCTTGTTTAACCCCAACAGGCATCATCTCTGAACCTTGGGGGTATCCCTAACTGAAGTTCATGATTGCTACTGAAGGAGGAGACTGTTGACAGTAGATGCTATAAGCTTGTCAATGATGTCCACAATTGGAAGTTTCAAAACTACCCAGGAATGGATGGAATAGTTGGAGTTGAAAAATGCTGTTTGAATTGAATTTTAAAAATTTAAGTTCTGTCTATGGTTGAAAAAGAAAATAAACCAGCATAAAATATAGAAACTGAAGGGTAGGTGTGCTGGTAATATACAGTTATCCTTTTGCCTTTAAAATACCCATGAAGCTGATAGGAAAGCAACAATATTGAGAACTCACAAAATTAAAATGCAAAAAAACAGCACAGAAGTGTTTAATGACAGAAAGCTGATGGATGGAACTTACTATGACGTCCCAGGAAATGGCTAAAAAGCCACCACTGGAGATAGGGCAATTAACATGTTTGCTCCACAGAACACCATTCACATTCTAGAAACTGGAAGATTAAAGTTAATCATGAGATGAAGAATCTATTATTTGTATTTACGATAGTGTTGAGTTCTCTGTTCTCTGTGTCTACAGAGACAGAAAAAGTCACTCATGGTAGAGAATGGATACTTGATTTGGAGAGATTAGCAAACTTTAGTTTTTGACATACAAGTAATGCTGAACAAAAGTGTGAAGTTAAACTAAAAGAAAGTAGAACTTTAGAGTTTTAAATAGTAAGATTCCAAGTCTCTTCTGTAGCAATGCTCTGGGAGTGTAGAACACAGACACATAATCTCACACCATACCAGAATTCTAACCTGGAAATCGTGAAAACACAAGTAAATTCTTACACTTACTGATGGTGTGGGTTTGACCACATAATACCTGTAATCCCAATACTCAAAAGGCAGAGTAACAAAGATTTCATATTTGAGGCTACCCTGTACTAATATTTGAGACCCTGCTTCAAGAGTTAAAAAAGAAAACAGAATAGATTAGGGGACTTAAATGTCCTGTACAAACTATATAATTTTGGCAAATTTCTTCAGCTTCTCTGACTCACTCTTGATTGTTTTGGGTTTTTTTGAGACAGGGTTTCTCTGTATTGTTTTGGAGCCTGTCCTGGGAATCACTCTGTAGACCAGGATGGTCTCGAACTCACATAGACCCTCCTGCCTCTGCTTCCCGAGTGCTTCGATTAAAGGTGTGTGCCACCAACGCCCGGCATCACTCTTAATTTTAAAAATGACTATATAATGTTAATAATGCTGTACAAATATATCTTGGTAATATATTCAAAGGGCAAGTGGAAGGTAAGAATACATATTACATTTTCAATGAATGTTTAAAAAATTACTGTTTAAATTCAATTACTGTTTAAAACATTAGAAGAACCAAAAAGGGTTCTAGAAGTGTTTATCTGCTAAAAAGGAAAGCTTACATATAAACATTAAATGATTTGCAAGAAAGTGGAATCAGAGACAAATAGGAAATAGAAAAAGAAACATGCTTAGGATCTTATATAACCAGTTCAGTTGGTAAAATATTTAATCAAAACGTTTAGAAATACAGAAGATAAATTATAGCAAAATAAAATGAAATTGCTTTTGAAGTGAGAGTCTGAACATTGACAGTGTATATCCTTATGAAAAAGTTAACAAAGAAATATTTCTTGTATGGTATTTTCAGACTACTGAGGGTAAGTTTTCCAATACCTCCAGAATGAATGGGAAAAATTTGCAGAAAATGAGAAACAGTTTAGACTGGAATTGTCCTTGTAAAAGATGAGTCTACAAAATTAAGAAAAATAAAAGTGCTTTTTAATTCTGGGGGAAATTTTTCAAATTATACTTTTATACCCAGTCAAACTATCAATCAAATGAAAATGTCACTTCACTATGTAAAGCACCAAAAGTTGCATCTATTTTAATGAAACTGGGTTCCAACCAAGTAAGAAAGTAAACTCAGAAATGATACTGGATTCTATAAAAGGTGGGCAGTGTGGGCCAAGTATTAAAAGCATGACATCCTCTCCACTATTGCTTGTGGTATTAGCTGGGGTCATCCTTGTGGAGAGGGTGCCTGAACTTGCCATCTACTGGAATCAGATTGGTGACTACTCTAATTGTCACAAGAGAGCCTTTACCCAGAACTGATGGAAGCAGATACAGAGATCAGTAGCCAATCACTGGGCCAAGCTCCTGGAGTCCTTCTGAAGAAAGGCAGGAGGGATTTTATGAGCCAGGAGGGTCAAGGTCATGATGGAGGAACTCACAGAGACCGCTGACCTGAGTTAGTAGGAGAACATGAACACCGAACCAACAATTAGTGAGCCTGCATAGGACCTACCTAGGTCCTCTGCATTTGTGTGACAGTTGTGTAGTTTGGTCTGTTTGTAAGGCTCCTAGCAGGGAGATCAGGTCCTGCCCCTGGCAATTAGCTGGCTTTTGGGAATCTGTTTCCATGCTGGTTTACCTCTGGGGAGGGAATGGGAAGACAGGAGGGAAGGAAAACTGTGGTTGGCAGGTAAAATAAATTAAAAAAATTAATTAAATAAAAATAATAAAAAGCATGACACCCATAAAGTAAACAGTTTAAGTGAAGAAGAGCCACGAATGAAAGATCAGTAGGAAATAAACACAAATAGTTTGTATCTTATATTTGAATATCTGAAGGCAAAATGTTAATATTTCAAGAGGACTACGATGTGAATAATTAGTAGAAAGAATGGAGGGTACATCTTATGGTAACTCTCTACTTTAATTGCTCACTTAGCCTGGAAAGAGAGGAATAGAAAAATCATTAGCAGTAAACAGACATTTAGCCAAATCTAAAACAGCAGTCATCACCTCCAGAAAAGATGAGTTCAAGAGAGGAAATGTAATAATACTGCACTACTAATTCTGCATACATAAGAGACCTAGCTAGGTGGACATTAATACTAGTTTCATTTCAGGGATGGTACTCATCTACGAGGCCTTGGAACCCACAGAAACAAAACTGACAACATCTTCTGACAATAATACCAGGAAACTAGGAGAAGAGAAATTGGCAACTTTTGTATGTGTGTCCATTAATGGGAAATAAGAACTGTAAATCCTTTTGCAGTGAGTGGGTAACACAGAAAAGTTGATTATCAAGATAAAAGAGTCTAAACATATCACCTGGAAGAAGATCGAATTTGAAGAACAACTGTGTAGAAAGGGACAGGAGATAAAAAAATTATTTTCTCTACAACCTTTAATTTATCTCAGTTTTTAAATTTGACAATTCTTTAAGTTCCAATATAAAATGAAAAGTATCTTTCCGACAGTCCACAAATATTGTCACACAAAAATTTAAATGTGTTCAAATTTATGTTGATTTTCATGCCGACTGTTACATTGTATTTGCATTAGATGACACAACCTGTTTTATATGTCAGCGAGAATGAGGAAGGTGAGAAAGAATGGTAATGAAACAGTTGTAACAAGCGAGCAGAATGGGAAACTCGCAGGGAAAAGGAAGGGACAGAGCAACAGCAGAGGCTAGGAATGAACGGCACCTATGTTTGCAGAAGTCATGCTGAAACCCGTTCATCTCTACTGCTAACACAGAATTCTCAGAATACTCAAAATCATAAACAATGGGAAGGGACTTGGAAGGGAGCAAGGGAAATAATAGGAGCTGCCGGGAGATGGAGCAGGAGGTTATAAGAAACAAAATGCACAACATAGGTGCATGAAGTTGACAAAGAAAAAGTCAAAGAGAGTTAAAATACTATACTTTTTAAAAAGCTACTGGCTAGAGACAGAGCTCAATGGTATAGCATTTGCTAAGCATGCTAATGATTAGCAACAAAAGAAAACAAGACAAAAACCGCAAATCTCAATTTTCCATAAGGAGAAAAGACAACAAATTATTGTGCACTATGAAAGAATCAAAACCCCATATTTAAAGTGGTATATACTCTACTAAACAAATCACTAAAGGGAAAACAAAGAAAATTTTATATGTAACCTACTTGGAAGGTGAAAATGAAGTTGTGTTGGGCCGAAACTACTGCACAAGTAAACTAGTACTCATATGTCTGTATCATACATTAAATGCAATGAAACATGACTCAGAATTGGAGCCTTCAAAATGTGGGCTTTTCATCACTATTGATCTGAGAACCATGAGCATGAATATCAGGGTAAATTGGTTTCAAGAACTTGAAATCATTGGTATCAATAGAGCCTCCCCTCAGACACACCTCATACTGGTAGCTTTGGGACAGGGTGCCCATGCTACTGACATCCACCAGGTGTCCAGGAAAGTGGCCCTCAGGCACAGAGCAGCCCCTCAGGGCCGTCGCCCTGGCCCTCCTGCACAGCCTCACCCCCACGAACAGCAGCACAGACAAGAGGAAAAGCGAAGACACAGATGCCAAGGCAATGACCAGGTACAGAGTGAGCTTATCCTCATCCTGGACAGAGTCGCGTGCCACCTCAGGCAGAGGCAGGTAGGGCTGAGAGAAGCCATCCACCACCAGCACATGCAGAGTGACACTGGCAGACCTAGGAGGATCACCATTGTCCTTGACCAGCAGCAGAAGCCTGTGCTTGGGAGCATCGCGCTCACTCAGCAGCCTGGAGGTGCGCACCTCGCCATTGTGAGCCCACACGGTGAACAGCCCAGGCTCCGTGGCCTTGAGCAGCTGGAAGGACAGCCAGGCATTCTGGCCAGAGTCGCGATCCACTGCCACCACCTTGGTGACCAGGTAGCCTGGCTCTGCCGCCCTGGGCAGCAGCTCTGTGCAGGGAGCAGACGCGTTCTGCAGAGGGTAGAGCACGAAGGGAGCATTGTCATTGGCGTCCAGCACGAGCACACGCACCAGCGCCTGGCTGCTGAGTGCGGGAGAGCCTTGGTCTGTGGCACCCACGCGGAACTCGAAGGTCTGCAGGGCCTCATAGTCCAGCGCCCTGAGCGCGAACAGCTGCCCGTTGTCTGCATTGATGGAGATGAGCGAGGAGAGGGCCAGCTGAGGGTCGTGGGTGGGCAGCAGCGAGTAGGTGATGTGGGCATTGGAGCCTGAGTCTGAGTCTGTGGCGCTGATGGTGCCTATGTGCAGGGCGGGGCTGTTGTTCTCCTGGACAAACAGGGTGTAGGAGGTTTGTGTGAAGGCGGGGGAGTTGTCATTGACGTCTGAGACCTGCACTGTTATGGTGTGCTGGGTTGTGAGCCTGGGTGTGCCCAGGTCGGTGACTGAGATGGTGATGTTGTACTCAGCTCTGCTCTCTCTGTCCAGAGCTCCTTCTGTCATCAGGATGTAAAAATTATCTACAGAGGGTCTTAGACTGAAAGGCAGATTTTCTTGAATGTAGCAAACGGTCTTTCCATTTTCTCCAGAGTCTCTGTCGTTAATCCTAAAAACTGCCAACACTGTTTCGGGAGCGTTCTCAACAACTTCGTTGACAAGTGATGATATGATCAGTTCCGGGGCGTTGTCATTGATGTCTAAAACATGAACTAAAACCGTACATCTAGCAGAAAGACCTCCACCATCGACTGCCTGTATATTTAATTTATAGGTCTTTACCGTCTCATAATCAAGCAAGGCTTTGAGCACAATCTCCCCAGAGAAAGGGTTGATTTGAAAGGTTGCTCGGATATCTTCGGAAGCATCAAAAAATGAATAGGATACTTCTGCATTGACATCCGAGTCTACATCTTCTGCAGAGACCTTAACAATAGGAAATCCTATTGGGCTATTTTCTGCAGCCTGGGTTTGATAAAGCTCCTGGGGAAACCGTGGGGCATTATCATTGATGTCCATGACCAGAATTTGTATAGTGTGGAGACCCTCCATCAAATGCTGTGAGTGTTAAACTGAACTCCTGCTGCTCCTCCCAGTTGAGAGGTTTGTCTAGCACCAGCTCTGGATATATCACCCCTTCATCATTGTCATGAATTGCAATATGAAAAACAGAGTTGGGGCTGATGGTATAGTTTTGGATGCCATTAGGTCCTCCATCTGAGTCTAGTGCTCTTTCTAAGCGAAATGCTGTTCCTACAGCTGTATTTTCTGGTATTTTTAAAATCATCTCTTTCTTCTGGAATGAGGGTGAGTGATCATTTATATCCACAATTCTCAGCTCAGCCCGATAAATCTGAAAGGGGTTATCCATTAAAATTTGGAAATACAGTATGCAGGGCTCTGTGGAGCCACACAGCTTCTCCCGATCCAGTTTCTCATTTGTGAGCAAATTTCCAGTGTGAAAATCCAGGAGCAAATGCTGTTTGTTGTCATCAGAAACCACCCTAGTTCTCTTTGCAGCCAGGGCTTCCACCTCTAGCCCCAGATCCTTTGCCAGATTTGCCACAAATGATCCCCTTTCTGTTTCCTCGGTTACTGAATAAGGTCCAAACTCAGAACCTGCCAAACACAGACCCCCAAACAGGAAGAGAAATAGCACTTGCCTTTGTCTGGGGAAGCATGACCCTCTGACTGCCATTGTTTCTTCTTTCGTCGCTACAGGTCCAGCCACAGCTCCCAGCAGTCATAAACCTCAGATGTTCCACTTAATTGGGAATATCTAGGATTTTTCCCCCTTTCTCAGTCTTGAGGAGCCTCGGCTTTTCTCCCAGCGGTCAGGAATTTCCTTCTTTGGTTTATGACTTCTGGTGCAGCCACAGTTAATTTTCCTCGTGTCTCTTTAGCCTGCAGCGCCACCATGTGGTCATGAACAGATTGAAAATGCTGTTTCCTAGTTTTATGTGTTCATATTTTTCTACAGTGGCTTTTTTAAAATTTTAAGTTTTAATTTTGTTTGTTTTGTGAATATAATGCTGAGATAGAGATATCTTCATACTGATTCTTCACAGCTTCGTGGGAAAGTTAAAATTCTGACGGTAGAATAGAAGGTTTGTAGCAGTAATGTTGTTTCACTGCTAGATTTAACTCCATGCTAGTCCTTTCATCTCTGACACAGACTCATGAAAGCAAAGGAATATTGTGAGCATATCTTCTGACAACATATTTCACAATTCTGGAAACAGGGGTACAGGAACACAGGAAATGGACAAAAGAAATGATTCACACATTCCCCAGAAACCTTATACAAACCCTGTATCACATTCCTTAAACAGAAGCACTACTCTGGATCCAGAACTGAGCCATCATGCCATCCCTCCCCTGTGACCCAGAATGTGTACTATCGTGACTTATGCACGACTATATTTATTATGTAAATAGCATGCTTCCAGCTTTTCAAGCCTCTATCTCTCCTTCAGTGTGTGACCTATTTGGGATGGGAACTGTGTCTTATCTTTGGCAAGTCATTCAGTCACTAATGTTTATTGAGTCAAAGCACACACAAATGAACTATGAGGACGACAAGAAACAGCCAATATCCATCAGTCCCTACCATCTGAAAATCATATTACTTCACTTACTTATAATACTTTGAAATTCTGTTCCTTTCTACTAACTTGTATTTATTTTCTTATAATAGCTGCCATCCATACAGCTGAACGAAAGCTACACCTTTGTTTTAAATGTCCCTCTTAACGAAATCTAATATGACCCAATTATTGTGCATGAAATAAAAGACCAATACTATGACTAACACATATCTTATTGATGTTGAAAGCAAGTATGTATCAATAAAACATCTTCCTAACAAAGAATTTTATTTAAAGGCCTAGAATGTTCTAATTTTCCCACTGTAAGCAAATGATATAGAGTAAACCTTAGGATGTGTACATGAAAAAAGGTTAGAGAGTGCCTCAAACCCCAGCTCTGTTGCAGAGAAAAGCCACAACATTTACTTGGTGATATACACACACTGTTTATTCAACAGAATGCGGCTGGATTTTATGCCATTGAAAACTCAATGTTTATCTCTAAAGCTCCCATGCAGAATTAAAACAAATTATTAAATGCTTCTATTTGATGCCTTAGAATGCCAAAATTTGCCTCATGCCCACAAATTTAGGCACATCCACACAATCTCAATATCTTATACCATGTTTGTTTTCAGATTGAATAGATACTTCCATTACTTATGATAGAAACACAGTTCACATCAAGATATAGAAACAAAGAAAAATAAAAATACAAAATAGTAGCATGGCAAAAGACAACTATTATACATAATGAAAACCAAATACTAATTAAAACAAGACAGCCAGTATAGAAAAGGAAGCAGAAATACCAGGTAGTATATATGTACATAACAAGCAGCACACTATTTTAATAATTCAAGAAGTCTAAGAACAGAACACTGACATTAAATGTGCAGAGCTAATGAAGTCAACAAAAGAAAAGTGGTAGAAAAGTTTTAGCAATCTAACTGGGTAGATAAAGCCTTCTCATTTACTGGGCTCCTACGAAGAAATTCTAGGCGATAAATAAGAGTAAAACCAACACTATGACATTAAGCATAAACCTGAAAACTGATGAGTAAATGGAAAATTTAAATTGTTGTTAGTAATAAGTATACAGAATTTAATCAACAGGATGATGTTGAAAAGTAAATATCTATTAAGTAACTCTCTAATAATGATTAAATCCCAAACTATTCTGTAGGGTAGAATTTTCCACTATTTCTTTCCCAGAGCACTGGGGCAGGGAGCTAGGGAGAACTGGCTGTAAGAATTTTAAATCGCTGGACCCAGAAGAATCGCCCATCAGACACACCTCATACTGGTAGCTCTGGGACAGGGTCCCTGCCCCGCTGACATCCACCAGGTGACCAGGAAAGTGGCCCTCGGGCACAGAGCAGCCACCCAGAGAGGACGCCCTGGCCCTCCTGCACAGCCTCACACCCACGAACAACAGCACAAACAAGAGGAAGAGCGAAGACACAGATGCCAAGGCAATGACCAGGTACAGAGTGAGCTCATCCTCTTCCTGTGCGGGGTCACGTGCCACCTCGGGCAGAGGCAGGTAGGGCTGAGAGAAGCCATCCACCACCAGCACTTGCAGAGTGACACTGGCAGACCTAGGAGGATCGCCATTGTCCTTGACGAGCAGCAGCAGCCTGTGCTTGGGGGCATCGCGCTCACTCAGCTGCCTGGAGGTGCGCACCTCGCCATTGTGAGCCCACACGGTGAACAGCCCTGGCTCCGTGGCCTTGAGTAGCTGGAATGACAGCCGCCACCACCCAGGGGCCCAGGTAGCCTGGCTCTGCCGCCCTGGGCAGCAGCTCTGTACAGGGAGCAGACGCGTTCTGCGTCGGGTAGAGCACGAAGGGATCATTGTCATTGGCATCCAGCACGAGCACGCGCACCAGAGCCTGGCTGCTGAGCGCGGGCAAGCCTTGATCTGTGGCGCCCACGCGGAACTCGAAGGTCTGCAGGGCCTCATAGTCCAGCGCCCTGAGCGCGAACAGCTGCCCGTTGTCTGCATTGATGGAGATGAGCGAGGAGAGGGCCAGCTGCGGGTCGTGGGTGGGCAGCAGCGAGTAGGTGATGTGGGCATTGGAGCCTGAGTCTGAGTCTGTGGCGCTGATGGTGCCTATGTGCAGGGCGGGGCTGTTGTTCTCCTGGACAAACAGGGTGTAGGAAGTTTGTGTGAAGGCAGGGGCATTGTCGTTGACATCAGAGACCTGCACTGTTATGGTGTGCTGGGTTGTGAGCCTGGGTGTGCCCAGGTCGGTGACTGTGATGATGATGGTGTATTGTTCTCTTTCTTCTCTATCTAGCGCTCTCTTCGTTATTAAAGTGTAAAAGTTCTTTCCTGAAGGTTTTAGAAGAAAGGGAAGGTCCTCCTGGATGGAGGAAATCACCTTCCCATTTTCCCCTGAGTCAGGATCTCTAACACTAAAAACAGCAACTACCTCATCCGGGGAGTTTTCAGGAACTTGGCTGGTAAGTGCAGATACAATCACTTCTGGGTGATTGTCATTCACGTCCACTACCTGCAGGAGCAGAGTGCATTTTCCTGAGAGACCGCCCCCATCCGTGGCCTTAATATCCACTTCATAAGAGGGAATTGTTTCAAAATCTAACTCTCTTCGTAGCCGAATTTCTCCTGTTACTGGATTTACTTCTAACGTCTTGCTGATATCTTCTGAAGGCTGAGATAGTGCGTACAATATTTTCCCA